ATGTATGTATGTATGTATGTATGTATGCATGTATGTATGTATGCATGTATGTATGTATGCATGCATGTGTACCACATGCATGTGGTACCTAAGGAAAACAGAAGTTGCTGAACTCTTGGACCTAAAGTCACAAACAGTTACAAGCCAGCATGTGGTTGCTGGGTACAGAACTCAGGTCCTCTGCAAGAGCAGCTAGTGCTCTTAACCACTGAGACACCACCCCAAGTTGTCTTTTCAGGTTTTTTTTTGAAAGAGATGTGCCCAGCCAACTCTACTCTTCTGGCAGCTCAAGATGAACAAAGGGCAGAAGTGAAGACAAAGCAAACAACTGGTGAGGCAATGGGTACTGATGTTTGAAGGCACCTGCTAATGCTGTCACCTATGTAGGCACACATGCTATGTGTGGAAAGCAGGGTGCTTCCATGACCAGAGGAACCTAAAAGTACAAGGATGGGTTGGAGAGGGTTAACTTCATTTTGGTAGGAACAGTGAGACAGAAATGGCAGGAAGATGGGGAGAAATCAATGTCAAATACAGTTGTTCCTAGGCTTAGGATAGGTCCTGTCCTGATAAACTCTTTGTCCTCTTCATAGCATCCTTGACTACAAATATACCAAACACCCCAAACTCCTGAGCATCATGACGAAAACCTACCCACTGTAAAGGTGCTTGCTTACCCTGGCCCATAAGTGGACAATCCCATCCCACAGAGCCTTTTCCATTACCTGATGCTGATTAGTCACGAATGGGTAGAACCTGGCACTGAGTGGAAGACAGACTAGTTACTTGGGAAAATTCCACACCACTGTGAAAAAATCTTTACATCGTAGTAAGAGGCTATCTGTAATGATTTAACAAAGAGATAATGTGGGCCCAAACATAAGTGAGTTAGAGGTGGTAACTGGATATATTCTTACAATCATTTTTTTGGAGTTAGCAGTACATTGCGTGCAAGTTATCTACTTAAAGTTTACAACTCAATAGTGTATTGTACTGCTATTACCAATTAGAACACTGTCATCATCCCCAAAGGAGACCTGAGCTCTTTAGCTGCCATTCTCCAATCCTGCCATCTCTTCCAGCACCTGGCAACTACTAGTCTACTTGCTGTCTATATGGATTTTCCTGTTCTGGGATTATGTAAGTATGGACTCATACATGGTATCTCTTATGTCTGGCTTCTTTCATTTAACTTCATGTTTTCGAGGTTCACTTATATTGTACCATGTGTTAGAAATTGATTTCTGTGTGACCAACTATTCCTCACATACCCCTTAGGGTTATTTCAATCCTTTGTGATTGCGAACTTGTACCCAAGTTTAGTAGCTATTAATAAAACGTCTTAAGAGAGGACTTAGAGAGTTGGGTCCATAGAAAGAGTGCTTGCTGCTCTTCCAGGGGACCTAAGTTCAATTTCTAGCACCCACATCAAGTATCTCACAACCACCTGACCTATCAGGCATCAGCTAACATCACAACGCACACATGCACACACACACACTCACATGTGCAAAGACAGACACACATACAAATAAATAAAATTATCTTTAAGAACATCTAAGACTATAAAAATAAACATAATCTATCAATGTGATGTATGAGCAGTTAGTTCTCAGGGACAGAACAAGAGCGGACGATGATGGAAAGAAAGGAGTCCCAAGAAGTTCCCTGTGGGTAAGCACAAGCCAGGCAGCCCAGCCTCAAAGACCAAGTTCAGAATCAAATCTCTCCAAGAAAACCTACCCAGACTGTCCCTAAGACTTCTAGAAGGGGGACATGAGAAACAAAAAAATGAAGCAAGGGGAAACTGTGACAGGCACCCATTAGCATATAATCACAAGAACTGTGATACACATAGAAAATCAGAGTCCAGAGAGGTTTACTTAGTTAGACATCAAAACTCTCATCTAGCTACTAAGAGTAAAATTTCCTGCGGATATGCATGAGTAGACCCCAGCTTCTTCAAGAACCCAATAGCACTGTCAATGGTGTCGCTTGATCATCATGGCCCTTAAGCCATCCTCCCTTCCTCTACTGGAGCACTTAGAGTACAGGGTTTAATAGCCTCTTTTAGACCAAGAATTCCAAAAGTACCTCTCCACTCTGTCTTTTTTTAAAGACAGAATTGCACTATGTAGCTCTGGCTAACCTGGAACTTGATATACAGACCAGGCTAGCCTCAAACTCTTTCTGCCTCCACTTCTCAAGAGCTGAGACTATGCCTCCATACCCACCTCCACTTTTAATACCCATATTCACACAGAGCAGAGGGTGACTGACTTGGCCATATCAACACTAAGCTCTACGTGAGGATCTAGAGGAGGGTCCCTACCCAAAACCCAATTCCAGGAAAGATAGAGAATGAAGTCAGCTGCAAAGTCAATGAGGAGAGCCTGTCCCACTAAATAGTCCATAGACTGCATATAGCTCCAGACGCCACCCCAAAACATCTCTGGCACCTGAGGTCACCCTACCTGCAGCCCCAAAGCACACTCATATCTCAGAAGTCTGTTTTCACATGAAGTCCTTCCCAAGTGCTGATGACCTCACCTGTGCTTCATTAAGTCCCCAGGAGCTTTGGAAGTATGAATCAATCCAGAGCAGGCTGGTGGCAAGAGCAGGCAGTGTCCACAAAATCTGTGATCACTCCTGCTCTGCATCCCTAGCAGCCCTCTGCCAATCATGCCTGCACTCACGCACCTGTCTCCCTTGGCTGCTGCCCTGTCTCTATCCACACTGCATTCTTCATGGCAGGATCATCACTTTGAGGCATGTGGAGTCTTTTGCAAACAGATCACCTTGAGTTAGATCAGCAGTTGTAATATTCTTTTAAGGACCCATAAGACACATTTTTCATAAACACTAAGGTACCATTTGCCCTGGTCTTGAACTCATCATCCTCCAGCCTCAGCTTCCTTAGTGCTAAGGCCAATAGTGTAGACCATCAAGCCAGTCTCAAAGTTTCATGTTTTGTTTCAAAAATAATAAAAGAAAAAAACAAATAAAAAACTGTAATACTGTAGGCCAACAGGACTGAGAAGATCTTTCCTCTCCGACAAATCCCAAAATCATCTGAGACCCAATTCTAGGCAACAGGAGTTCCTTCCAGCCCCCAGTAACCTCACACTCCAGTGAGCCTGCATCACTGGGCTATCCAGCTTTCCAGTCCTATGCCCTTGAGCTTTCTTGCCAACAGTCCCTACAGGTGCCTTAGTTGTTTTCAGTTAAGCAGCTCAAGTTAGATAAAAGGGTAGAAAGAGTGGAAATCCCAAGATTCCTGAGACAGTGTGCCCTTAGGGAGTTCACTGTACTTACAGCCAGGAAGGGCATCCCACTGGGCTCTAGGCAGCCCCACCGCAGACTCTATCACATGACAGACAGGCCAACATCTGGCCCCAGGCGCTGATTCAAATCCAGCCTACTAGCAGAAATGTAGCAGTCCAGAGATCCTACCCTCAGATCTCCACAGGAAAAGCAACAGTAGATGCTCAAACAAAAATCTATATACAAATATTCACAGCAAAACAACTCCATTTGACAAAAGGTAGGAATGATCCAGATGCCGTTAACTGGGAATAAATCAACAAAATGTAGTACAGTCATATCCTGAAATATCATAAATTATGAAAAAAAGATGAATGAAATTCTAAGTAGTACTCAAGATAGGGAAACCATAAGAACATTAGTTGAGTGAAAGAACACAGATTAAAGGTCACAAGTTCTATGATTCCATTTTATGAAATTCCCATAGTAAGAGAAAGCAGATTCTAAGTAGTAAGCACCTGGGGATAGGAAGTGGGTGGGATTCAGGATGGCCGAACAGTTATGAGGTGTTCTGGGGTGCAGAAAACAACTTCAACTAGAGCATGGTAGTGGTTAACTACCACTGTGAATGTGTTAAATAAATTCAAGTGGCTAATTTTATGTTGTATGAATTACATCTTAAAGAACAAAGACAAACAAAAATACAACAGATCCCACACCCTTGGCACAGAGCAGGCAGGGCTACAAATATGGGCTATACCTTCTCCCCTCTGTTCCAACTAGCCTAAGAGAGCCCTACAAGCCTAGGCCCTGGTAGGGCCTAGGCTGTTATTAAAAGCCTCTTCCCTGACAGCCTGTTCATGGCTGCGAGACTGTTAAGAGTCCGGTGCCATTTGTGGGAGAGGGAGGGAGAATGATAGTGATGTCAGACAGCTTCCTGGCAGCGGCTTTGTACAGAAGTCATGACCATGCAGCCACCCTTCTCATTAAAAACAAAAACAAAACCAGGACAGGAGCATGACAGAAAGACAGGCATGAGATAGCACACTTAAACAAGGACAGCCCAGACTGGATGCTCTAGCTTGCCCACTTGGCAGACAGCGAATCTGCATCTATCCAGGAGCATGGGAGCTGGTCTATGCTTTGGCATAGCTCTTGCCAACAAGTCACAGGACTTCTCCACACCTAGCCCTTTATCCCTACACCTGTAAGAATGTTGTGAATATCAAAGAGTTAATGGTAGCCTGGGACAACGTTTCTGTCAGCTATGAATACCATGGGAAGAGAGAGGCATACTCCAGAGCAAGCTGATAGTCCTATAATTTCAAACCAGAAACACCTGTGCACCATGGAAGACCATGTGCTGCCAGCTAACCATGGTCCACAAAGAGGACTCACAAACTTCTGGAAAGTAGAGGGCTTGTCTGCCCAGGTGACATGT